CAAGATCTTGCTATGTTGTCGAGGTGGGCCTCAGACTCCTGGGCTTAAGGGATCTTCCCACTTCAGCCTCCCAAATAGTTGGAATGAAAGGCGTGGTTCACCAGCTCTGGCTTTTAAGACTTACGTTATTTAATGTTATGCTGTTTCACTATATCGGCTCGATGTGTCAATCTATTTTCATTTTTTTCTTCTTGGATTCACAGGCGTGTTTAGTACACATATTGTTAGCATCGAGCTGTTCTGCGATATTCTCTGCCATTTCTTCATATCTTGACTCTGCCCATTTCCTGTTCACACTGCTGGATTCCACTGAAGTATTTGTTAGACATTTTCACTGCACCTTCTGTGTGTCCTTTCCTTTCATCTGCTTTTCTCATCTTTATGCCTTCTGGTGCTTTACTATGGATGGTACTTTTTCAATTTCCGTTTACTAATTTTTGTTCAGTTATGTCAAATACACCGGCCCATCTCAGAACAGTTTGAGGCACTCCCTTTTCAGAATTCCCCTGCTGTATTTTGGGACAACTCCACTTGTGGATTCCAAGGTTGAAATAGCACTCATCCCCCTCAACCACTAGAACCACCATTCCACTTTCTGCTACAGTGAATTTGACTTTTTGGATTCCATATGTAAATGAGATCATGCAGGCTTTGTCTTTGTATGCCTGGCTTATTTATTTAGGGGCTTATTATTCAGGGGAGATAATGTTCTCTAATTCACTATGTTTTCACAAATGGTAGCATGAGTAATATTTTGTTGTACATATATACTATATTTACTTTATACACGTAGGGACACTTACATTGATTTCGTATCTTGGCTACTGGGAGTAATGCTGCAATAAGCATTGGAGTTTGCAGTCTTCCTCTAATTTGTTTTTCAAGTATCTTTAAGGCAAGTGAGTATAAACTCTATCCCTGGCTCAGAGATAGGGTTATGAATATTTACTATGTGCCTTCCATAGGGCATTTCCTTATCTTGGCAGATGACTTCATAATTAAAGTGTCTGACTTCTCACAGGAATCTTATTTATACTGGCAGACATCCCGATGGCTCCTTCCTGTCCTCTGTCTGGATTACTACTACCAAGATAGCTGCCCTCTCTAGGAAAGTCCCAGCTTAGGAAAATTAGGTGGGCCTGTGTTGGTCAGGTGAGACAGAGAGGGCAGCACAACAAAACACATGAACTAACAGAGGCACTGATTATTTACAGATGCTAGAGGCAAGGCAGGATGCCTCAGAGGATAATCGAAAGGGCGGAGCCATCCTGAGCATGCACACACAACCAGTCAGTGAAAAGCAGGAAAACCTTCAGTGGGGAAGCTTTTGCTGGTGCCCAGGGAATTACCCAACGAAGATTTTTTTGGGAAGTTTTAATTAAGTTTAAAGTGAGAAGCACAAGTTTATGACTGAGAGGGAATTACCGTGGGATGTCTGTACAGTCCACGTGGAGCATGGGGTGTGGTTGGCAAGTTAAGTTACGTTGTATCTAGCTGTCCCATGAGAAGGTGGTCATCAGGAAGTAGCTGCATAAGGGAGATAGATTGATCACATTAAGGAACTGAGAAAATGTTGGGAAGTGGAAACTCAATGGTATGAAACCCAACTTACATTTAAAATGGATCTTGAGACAACATAGAACTCACTACAGAAATAGAACCAGAAGCAGAATTGTTCATTTTTAATTTTTTGAGGAACCTCAGGCTGCTTTCCAAAATGGCTGTGCTAATTTACATTGCCACCAACACTGTACAAGGATTTCCTTTTATCCATACCTCTGTCAACATTTACTAGCACTTGTATTTTTTATAATAGTCACCCTAACAGGTATAAGCCAATATCTAATTGTGGTTCCAATTTGCATCACCTTGGTGATGAGTATGTTGAGTAATTTTGTGTATTTCATTTGGAAAATACGTTTTCAGTTGTTTTGCTCATTTTAGGATCGAATTGTTTTGTTGCCATCAAACTGAGTTGCTTAAGTGTTTTGGACACTAAAACTTTCTCAGATATATGAGTATGATTGCAAATACTTTCCCCAATTCCATAGGTTGTCTCTTTACTCTTTTATTTTCTTTTCTGCCCAGAAACTTTAGTGTGATGTAGTTTCATTTGCCAAATTTTGCAGTTCTTGCTTGTGCTTCTGGGGTCACATCCAAAAGTCTTTACCCTGCCCAGTGTCAGAAAACTACCACGATGGTGTTTTTTTTTTTTTTTTTTTTGTGTATGTGTGTAATAGTTTTACTATTTCTTCATTTCTAATGTTTTAAGTATTATATTTCCATCTTTAACCCATTTTGGGTTAATTTTTAACATTTTGCCAGAGTCCAATTTTGTTTTTCTAAATGTGAACATTAATTTTTCTCAACAACTCTTATGAAGAGATAATCTTTTCCTCATGTGTGTATTTTTGGTAACTTTGTCCAAAATCAATGAATTATAAAGGCATGATAGACTTATTTTTGGTTTCTCTATTCTTTTCTAATTGTCTATATGTCCATTTTTTAAACAGTATATATTGTTTTGATTACTATAGCTTTATAACAGATTTTGAGATCTAGAAAGGTGATGTTTTCTGCTTGGTTCTCTTTGTTTAAGTTTGGTTTGTCCATTTGATATCTTTTGTAGTTATACAAATTTCTATATATCCATTTTTTGTGTGAAAAACATTGCTGGGGAATTTTGAAGATGATTGCATTGAATGTGTAGGCTGTCTTGGGGGTAGTGTGCATATTTTAAAAATATTAATTCTTTCAATCCATGTATGTGTTACTTCAATTTTTATCAATGTTTTATAGTTTTTAGTGTACAGAGATTTCATCTGCTTGGTTGAGTATATTTCTATATATTTTTATAAAGCTATTATAAATGTTATTATTTTCCTGATTTCTTTTTCATATAGTTCATTGGTAGTATATAGGAATGCTATTGATTTTTATGTTGATCTTGTATCCTCCAACATTACTGAATTTATTAGCTTTAACAGTTATTTGTAGAAGCTTTCAAGGACACACACACATACAGTGATCCTTCCCTGTTGCAGGAGTTATGTCCCAGAGACCCCTGCGATAGTTGAAAATCCATGAAGTAGCAGCGTTATATTTATTTTATTATTTATACATATTTTAAGGCTTTATAAACCCTTCTCACACTCCTATAAACCTTTCCCACTCTCTTACTAACCTTTCCCACACTCTTATAAACACTTACTATGCTCTTAAACATTTTCTACACTCTTAAACCTATGTAATTTTAACAACATGCAAAATTCTATACGGGTACTGTATTTTTTTTTTTTAAAAAAACAGCAATACAGTGAAGTTGCAATAAGTGAACTATAATATAGGGAGGGACGACTGGTTATAAACTCACAATACACATACACATACCATATATATACATATGCACATACCATATATATCTCCATATAGCCATTGTGTATTTATAAATATATATCTCTATCACTATCTCTGCATCTATTTCTATATCTATCTATCATCTATTTATCTATCTGCAAAGAGACACAATTTAACTTCTTTTCCAATCTGGATACCTTTTATTTCTTTTTCTTACCTAGTTGCTGTAGCTAGTATTTCTAGTACTATGTTTCTAGTACTATGATCATGATAAGACTAGGAATCTGTGTTTTTCCTTATCTCCAAAGAAAAGATGTCAGCTTTTCATCACTGAGTGTGTTGTTTAAAAATAGGTTTTTCACATATGGTTTTAATTGTGTTGCGACACATTCCTTCTGTACCTAATTTTAGAAGTTTTTAAATGAAAGGATGTTGAATTTCTGTTAATGTATTTTCTGCATCTATTATCACGTGATTCTTGTCCAGGGGCTGGGAATATAGCTCAGTGATATGGTGCCTTCCTGGCAAGCACGAATCCCTGAGTTTGATTTCCTAACTTTAAAAAGTAAAAGGATTATAATTACTTTTTTCAAAGTAAAACTAAAGTCCATTTGATACATCTCTTGACAGTAAAATTACATTGTCATTAACTAGCAGAAACATACAAAGACATAAAGATGTCAATCTATTTTAGTATTTGCCTTGCTTCAAAGTTGATACAGATGTCCAGAACTTTATCATCATATGGGCATTTTGTAAGCAACTCAATCCATTCTTGAAATGCTCACTTACTCAGCATGGGGGACATTACAGTTTGTGTATATATGCACCTTCGTCCTTCTCAAAGACATCACTGTCTTTACCCAAGACGCAGAGCCCCTCTTCATCAGCATGCTCCCGTTAGGAGCTGAATTATTCTTTTTCATTTCAATGCTAAAAACATACTGCACAGACATACACAAACTGTAATGCAGCCCAATTACCAGCGTTGTGAGACCTACATGCTGTTTACCCATTTAATAATTTTTAATCTTGAAAACTGTTATTTCTTCATTCACCCAATCTTTTTTGTTACTCCAGAGCTACTCAACATTTCCGTACTTGATTCAGAAATATTTTATTGAGAAGTTGTACTGCCTTGTTCTTTACTGGTTTCATTCGGTTTAGAATTATTTAAACAGTTGAAACTGCTTAGATGACTGTAGCATTCGCGAAGTTAGAGATTGTCGAGTTTTTGGTAGTGAATCAATGATGAATAAACTGAGCCACAGAGCCTGAAATCACAGTTTCAGTTGGAACGGTTGCAATAAAAATCCAGGCTTTCACACATCCAATCTATTGGTTTTTCTGCTTTATCATATCATATACTCTGTCAGAATACACCGATCTTTTGTATACCACTTTTCTCCTTTAGGGAGCTGATAAATGTCCCCCGGGTTTTATTGATCTAGTACACATTATACTTCAAAACACAGGAAGAAAAGTCTTATCCTCCTAAATGATAAGTGGATGTCACTTCGTAAGTTTACTGCAATAATATGTTCAGCATGAAGGTTGTTATGTGTGAATGAAAGACAGTGTCATGAGAACAGGCACAAACAGCTCAACTATAAGAACACCAAGCGATTTCTCTCATCTTTTAAAATTAAAGACTAACAATTCAACTGAAACGATGTTTTCTAAACTTTAACTTGTGGGATAGAAATAAAAAGTGCTCAAATGTTATTTTTTCCACTAAATTGTTTTCCATATTTAATCCTCCTAGATTATCTTGCCGCTATCTAAACTAATTTAAATAATCACTATTTACTAACTAATTTATTCACGTCTCAAAGCTGTTGAGTCCTTACCCATAGTGGCTGCCATAAACAAATTCCAGGCAGAGTATCTTATAGTTGGTTATAAGATACCAGGAAACAGAATTTCAAATCATGGCTGCCCATGTTGGGAGATCAAAACAGAAAGTTGTTAAATGAGGAATACCCCACTTTATAATGACCCGGCTTATTTTCTCAGGGTATGTTCTTTCAGTAGTGAGACGTTTCTCTCCTCCCCCTCTTCCTTCCCCTTTGATGTCTTGGTTGTGGTGTTTCTCTTGTCCTTGTTTCATCCAGCCAGGCACGCACCCATCCCACACTCCTGTGCCAAATACAAAGCGAGGCCGTGAGGACCCACGGGCGTTTCCCCTGTCTGAACGTAGTTCTTAGCGTATACTGGCGAAGTCAAAATTCTCTAAATCTGTGACTGCCCGCCACTGCTATCAAGTTGATTCCTTCCATTCACACTTCAACATGCATTTCACTGTGATCCTGGACAAGGGAAGAAAAGCCACTGTCCAGATAGAGTTTCAAACAGTCTAGCTTTCTTTAACCCAGTGGTAACGCGCTTCTGGTCTTTTCCTTGGTACTTCCTCACCGTGTCTGTCCCAGTTTCACTAGCACCTTGGGAGGGGGGCGGCTCTCGTAGCCACCTGATCTGAGGTAGTCAGCCTGCAGTTACCCTCCCATCAACCCTTTTGATTGTCATTGCGGCTTTTGCCTCTGTTGCTTTATTTGCATGTTTAATCCCTGCCTTTCTTCCGGGAAATCTGCTGGTTTGCCTTTGAATCCTAAGCAGCGCTTGTCACACAACTGGCGTTCATTAAACATCGATCAATGAATGAGTAGGTCCCTAGCTGACTACTCCTGTTTGCGCTACTACAGATACTGATTCATTCTTGTAGAGAAGTTTTCACTTCTCCCATGCATGCAGATAAACCAGAATTTTAAACCAAATCTTAAAGACAGTTTGGAAACGTAAGCAACATCTGGTAGGGCAACGATTTTGGCATCTACACGAAGCTTTTTCTGTAAAGCAGGCTGGTCGCTGGCCTCGTCATCAGCACCGCTGGAAAATGCTTGCCTGTCTTTGTTGGTTTGTTCAAAGCACTGGGAACATCTGGCCCTGATGTCTTCATAACTTCGGGAGTTAGGCGTGCGAGCGAAAATGCCCCACGAAAGGGAAGGCAGTCCGTCCAAGGAGAGAACAGTGTCGTTCTAAGAAGGATGCTAGTTTCTTCGAGCGTTGCCGAGACGTTCCTTCCTCGAAAGTCCTGCTGCTGTGACCGAGCCGGCAGCCGCTCCGTCCCGCCCCTCGCGCGCCCGGCTCCGCCTCGTTTCCGCGGATCCTCCTCCGCGAAGTTGTGGCTCCAGGCCGGCTTCGGCTGCGCTCGAGAGCGTCACCCCATCCTTTAAAGGTGGGACCGTGACGAGGGCGCGGGGGAAGCAGGCGGGAGCCGAGGGCCGCGGAGTCCGGTTGGCATAGTAACTCCCCGCCGGCCGCCCGCGCTCCGCGCGCCCGAGGGCCCTCCGCGCCCGGCAGGGGC